TAACCTGCTTTCCTGCGAACAGGAACGACACAAACCTGCGCTTACGCACTATGGCTGAACCGTCTAACGGTCCCATTGCAGAACAGATGCCAATCATGTTGCCAGATTGGCCTCCTGCTCAGCCAGATGTGTGTGAATGTGTTTTGGGCTGACACGGCACTTTAAAGTACCGTGGACGTCCTTTACAGTCGCTCTGCGGTGTGTTGAGAGATAAAGTAATGAGTAGGTGTGTGTGTGTGCGTGTGTGGGCTCTTTAATATCCCTCTCGCCTGAGTATAGGGGTCGTGTTGTGCCCTTGCCTGTAAACATCGTGTTGATGCTATCTGCGCTGCATCAGGGCGATGGATGTGCAGACTTTAGAGGTTTGGCAGAAGCGCATTTAGGCTGCCGAAGTGTGTTGCTATTTCACTCACGCATCCTGTGGAAAAGAGGGGGATGGAGACTTTGCGTTCAATGTCGCCGTTTGTTGTCCTGGTAATGTTTCATTCTGCAGACATTGTTCTTGTATCTCTAATGCCTGAAAAACTTACTTTCCCCCCTTTTTTTAGTATGTAGGTGTGTAAATAAGCAGTCATTTAGTAATCTTTTATCCAAAGCAACTAAACTGCGATGTACAAGAACGCTTCAAGCAACAAATCGATTTCACATGTCATTACTTTCTGAAATGCAATTCATAATGCAAAGTGTTGTCATAGACCATATAACCTTTGGGTTACAATCCCAGATCATTAAGCACAACTCCTTGTATCTCTTTAGGTAAGCCTAGAGTGGACGGCCAGGCCCCAATGCCTTCACGGGTCGTCATTAGCGATAAACCAGCAATCGTGACAACGTCCTTCCCTCCCGTTACCATTTCTGAACCCAAGACTGCTCCTGCTATTCGGAAACCCAACACCATCTTAGTGGAGGTCCAGTCAGAACCGAAGAAACGGACTCCACAGCTCAAAATACAGGTAGCACCAGGTTCACACATATAGTACAAACATCTTCAGCTGATTTTGTCACTTCATACAAATAAGACTTTACAAGCTTTGCATGATGCATCAGACAATATCACTTCCCTACTGCGGGTTGTTGGAGTGGCTTTTATTTCACATGTGTCATTTTGTTTGCAGGTCCAGCCTGGTGTGAACATTGAGAGTTGTCTATGCAGCAGTCCAGCCGAAACCGAAACCATCCTTCCTCCACCTTCGATTCACGTAAAACCTCCCAAATCACCAACAACACTGAGCAGACCCTTATTTTTTTTGGTTGGCTTTATCAGCACTACTCCAAATTTCATAAAAATGTTGTACCAGAGAAATAGCTTATACTTTTGCAGGCTTTCAAATTGATGATACACCCAGGATGTCCTCTAACATGTACATTTGCTCGTGTGTGTGTGTGTGTGTGTGTTCATACACCAGCTGTCTTGGCTCCATTCTGAGAATGGATGGATATTATGCCATTAAATGTTGGCTGTGCTCCAGCATGCTGTAGTGCTATAAGGGCCAGGTTTGCATTTCTCATCGCACTGCCATTGATTTTTGCCAAGCCGTGCATGCATGCGCCTTCATGCTCTCAGAACCTGCCCAAGCGGATGAAGATGGATGAGGTGTGTGCGTTTGCGTGTGTGTATTGAGCTGAATGTATAATGTTTCAGGGGGGACTTTGCCGCCAGCGTTTTCTGCTCTTTCTCCTCCAATCCCGACCTCAGCCATTCACATCTGGTTGCTAGGCAACAGATGCAGCTCCGTTGCTCTTCTGTCGGAGCAACACGTCTAGGAGGACAAAGCGTCTCTGTGGTCTGCCCGCCGCTGTTAGCATCAGAGGAATCATTACAGCTCTATAGAAATAACCCTAGAAACACGTCTGGCGATAGAAGCCGTCGAGTTAATTTGGGGATGCATTTCCTCTTTTGACTTCGACTTCAGGTTTTGCTCGCAATCAGTCACATTCTCATTAAATTTAAGGAGACTTTAAAGCTTTTGACTATTCAAATTATTGAGAAGATTTATAGTGCCCTGCGTACTCTAATATAATTCAATCTTTGCTAAATATTTGATTTATTTTTCAAATACAATAAATTCATTTTAAAATATTTTTTATTAAAATACGATTTTATGTAAGTAATAGGGCTGTGCAAAACATCCAAGATAAAAGTCTGTGTTTACATAATATATTTGTGTGTGCTGTATATAATTATTTTGTATATATAAATACACACACATGCATGTATATATTTAAGAAAATGTGTTATTCATATATAAAATATTTATATTTATATAATAAAGATTATGTATTTATATATATATATAGAATTTAAGCGCAAAAAATTCTTAAATATATACATGCATGCATAGGTATTTATATTTACAAAATAATTATATACAGCACACACAAATATATTATGTAAACACAGACTTTTATTTTGGATGCGATTAATCGCAATTAATTTTTGCACAGCCCTAATAAGTAAGTAATATACATTTTAGAATAAATCATATTTTTAACTTTATATTATTTAGAATACTGTACAAATTTAAAGTGTTCTGAGTACTGTAATTTACTCTTTTCTAAATATAAAATAATAATTAAAAAAATTAAAACTATTATTTTAAAATAAATGTTATTGAGGTAAAATAGTGCATGGCCTTTACTGCACGATACACACACATATATTAATATATAATTATATTACATTAATGGCAGCCATAAACATCCTGCAGATAAACTAATGAACCATATTACCTGTTTTAAGAATTATTATTTTGTCCAAATGATTATTATTAATAGTTGTTGTTAGTGCTAATATTGTTATTTTTTGAACAACAGTGTATTTTATCATGTTGATGTTGCACGAACAAGCAATAGACATGTTTCTGTGCGTGTGTGTGTGTGCGAAAAAGGGTGCGTTTTCCCCTTAAATTGTGTGTCTGATGCAGCTCAGCAGAGGTGTTCTGGTCTGTCAGCTCAGCAAGGCTGCGTTCAGCACTCTGTCTGTGCCCAGTTAATGACCTTGACTCATCAGACTGGCAGACCCCAGCCTTCCACAGACACGGGACGTATACTCACACACACTCTCACAAAACATGCTTTGAATTGTACTCTTCACTCCCACCAGGCCTGAGGCCTGTCAAACTTAGGGAATGAAATATGACTAAGTCTCACAGTGCTTGTGCTTAAAACACATGATATCTCGATCCTCTGAGGCTTGACATTTGGGGTGCATTGCTGTCACCGCTGGCTCATACTGTTACAAAGTCCACTTTTGTTCTTTGAGAAAATATTGTGATAGATAGATTTTTGTAGATCTTAAACAAAAAGGAATAGTTCACCTGAAAGTAAAAGTTCTGTCACCGTTCACTATAAGAATTTCTTTCTTACAGTACGTGGGACACACAATGTGAATAAGCCTGGGGACTTTCAAGGACTCAAAAACATTCAAGCACAATATTTCAAGTCCTCTGAAATCATTTTAAGGTTGTTTTGTGATAAACGGGCCAAAAATGTATTCTTTCTATACAATGAGTGAACTATCAACCATTGTTAACGGATCATGGAGTCATTATCAGTGTGAAGCCACCCGATTCATGAATGAATCAAACCAAATTTGTGAACTGAACCCGAAATTTGTGAACCCGTCTCCCGTGAGCGAGAAATTATGACAGAAAACTATACAAAGGAACTATTCCTTTAATTTGCGGTACAATTAATTACCAGTTGCTCTTTTTATTTCCTGCTATTTTCAGTGCAAGTGTGATTGTGCACATGTGTGTGAGCAGAATAGTAAGTAATATTGTGTTTCTGTAGCTCACTGCAGCACGCTTGCTGCAGTCTCGTGTGTTTCCGCAGCTCCGATGGAGTTACTCCACACACACACGCACACACAGACACACAATAATGTAAAAAAACCCCGATGTTTATCTCATATCTCAAAATTAGTTGGATAGAGTCATCAGTAATGATCTTGTGGTTTGTTTTGTGACTCACTGTACATTTATCCTGCCTGTTACACAGCTGCTTACTAAATAAATAAATGTAAATGAAATATTGATTTTGTGATATAGAGTCGGAGAGGACATAAAACTAGCACAGCAACACAGGATGTCTTTTTAGGGGCCAAGCACCGAAGGTGCGGAGGCACCTATTGTATCTGTGCCGGTTCTTATTATTATTATTATTATTATTATTCTTCTTCCGACTGGGCGTCTATGGCAGCCCATAGACCGGTTTGCGGGAAAGTTGTTTTGGTTTGACATTCTGATAGAGGACAGTCCCAACTTTAAATACACCAATTTTGGTGTCTCTAACTCATTCCCTCTAGCGCCACCAACTGTCCAAAGTTTCACTTTTATTATGCTAATAACTTTTGAACCGTAAGACCTATCAACAAAATTCTTTTTTCCTCTTATTCCTGAGCTCATGCCGATTCGATCGCACCCTATGACGTCATTTTCCGTCATAAAAAAACGGCCGCCATTTTGAATTTTCCAAAAAACGTACTTTTGCGAACTCGTCCTAGACCGTTTGTCCGATTTTCACCAAAATCGCACCGGATCATCTCCAGACAGTGCTGACAAAAAGTTATGGAATTCAAGATAATTCGAATAACCGTTTTCGATAAACGCACAAACTAATTTTACGTAACGCTTGCGAAAACAGACGTAAGGCTTTATCTCCGCAACGCTTCATCCTATTCAGACCAAACTTGGTACATGTAATCACAAGCATGACCTGAGGCTACATGCAGCGTTTCGGCGCAGCGCCACCTAGTGGTACGGAGATATGAAAAATGGCTATTTTTGCTCGTAACTTCTGAACGGTTTGTCCAAAAATCATAAACTTCATCTCGTTAGATTCAGGGCATCATGCCGAGTCGACCGATATCCAATTTTCCCAGATCGGCCATTTTGGCTGTCGGCCATTTTGAATTATGTGCTAAAATGCTGTATTTTTTGAACGCATGAACGAATTGTTACGAAACTCGGTATGGGTCATCAGTACGATGCCCTGAAGAAGCCTGAGAAGTTTCGAAACAGCGCCACCTAGTGGTGAATTTTTTTTTCCAAACGCTTATAACTTTGGGTGTGGTACACTTATTTTCACGGGAGTCATCTTTTTGAGTTCCTGAATCGTTGCCGAGTCCAACAATACTAAACATGCTGGGTTTCGTGTTACGGTTGGTGTAGCGTAGCGATTTAGCGCGAAAAAAACACTTGGCGATATCTTCAAAACCGCTGTTCCGATCGAGACGAAACCACCGCCAGAAACACGGAATCATAGCTTGTTAACTAAACGCTAATGCCCAAATGCGAAAATATTGATAGTAAGGGGTAGTAAAATTCAAACAAAGTCATGTGTCAGTCATTTTTTACGTGTTTTTTCATATAAATGTTTATAACTCGGAAGCGAATTGAGATATTTTCACCAAAATTGACACACATATGTATGGGGTCACTCTGAGGACACATAAAAAAAATTGTGGGACTGAGCCTCTTGGTGGCGCTATAATAGAACAAAACGTGAAATTCCCATTGACTTCAATAGAGTTTTGTGAAATAAAATGCTATACTAAACAAATGCATTGGTGTAATATTACAAAACTCAGTGTGTGCCATAAGCAGCATGCCCTGAAGGTACTTAAAAGATTTTAAGACAGCGCCACCTGTTGGTCAAAAGTTATAATTAATTTCTGAGAACGCTAATAACTTTTGAATAAATTTGCCTATTGCAATGAAACTGATCTTAATAGATTCCTTTGGTTATGCCAAAAACATAGATATCAGGTTTTCCATAATCAGACAAACGTTCTGTTCGCCATCTTTATTTCTTTGAAAAACCTTCTTTTTCGAACTCCTCCTAGACCGTTTGTCCGATTTTCACGAAAATTGAATCGTATCATCTCCAGACCGTGCCGACTAAAAGTTATGAATTGCACGATGATAGACAAAACCGTTTTTGTATACCACAGCATCAAAGTTTAGGCATGCTGCCAAAATTACTATTTAGGCTTTATCTCTGCAATGCCTTCACATTTTGACACCAAACTTTGCATGTGTCATTGTCACCTCACTCTGACCACACATCTATTTCGTAACTGCGCCACCTATTGTTCGAAAGTGATAACCCATTAAATCATCTTATAAGGTAATGTTTATGTGATTTTCTTAGCCATTTGCCCAAAGTTCTCTCAAAATGCCCTTAATTGCTCCTTGCTGCAGTTGGTCTGCCACTCCTAGCCATTTTGGCATATGTTGCCGCTTCTTGCGCTTGGCCCCGGTAATGGCTGCTTGCAGCTATATTTTTAGATGTTTTTAAAATAAGTTTCTTATGCTGCATGAATCAAAAATACAATAAAAAGAGTGATATTGTGAGATATTACTTTTTATTCTGACCCAACAATAGTGTAAGACAATTAATTATAAGTTTAGCGATCAGTATTGTATATATATTTGCCTGCAGAATGCTGTGACTGACTTAATAAGAAGCATGTATTCCAGAGAGCTGTATTATAATTGGACGTAACATATTTTTCTTTATGCGCCATCCAGGACAGAACACCTACAACTATTGTATAAATGATATAAAATTGTGACAAGAGCTGTAAAATGTATTTTAGTGCTTTAGAAGGAGCAATGCGTATAACACTATCTGTGTCGCGTACTCAGCACACCCGTACCTCTCATTCACATGAGCAGACCATTTCTCTCGTTACCATGGAGATGAGGCAGAGACCTGGAAAACTGATGCGTGATTCTCTCTCTCATACACACACACACACACACACATCTCTTAAACAGTTACAGTTTATGTCCTTTCAATGAATGATTCATTGAATCTTTGTAGGTATATGATGTAAAGACACTCCTAAATCTGTCTTGTAAGAATGATTGATGAGACAGCGTTTTATTGCATTATGTATGTGTGTGATCAACATCACGTTTGCGACTACATCCATTTGATGAGCTGTCAGGATATTTTGGGATTTTCATGTTCTTCTAAACCTGTGTGACTTAATTTCTTCAGTGGATCACAAAAGGAGATGTTTGGAAGAATGTTCACGCTCCTATTTTCCATACAAATGAACACATACAATGATCATGAGCTTGTCAAGCTCCAAAAAGGGCATCATAACAGCACCATAATAATTATCCATATGACTTGTGCACTATATTTTGAGTCTTACAATAGCTTTATGTAATGCACAGATTGTCATTGTTCAAAACGTCTCATGGAATGACAGTAAATCGTTTTTGAAGGAACTTTTAGTGAAACATATGTTGATGTTGCATTTAAAAATGGAGGCAGACCAACGCGAGCTTGCAGCTTTAAGCATCTTTCGTTTCATTGGTTGAACATTGTAAGTTTTTTTTTTTTTTTTTTTTTTTTTTTAATGAAACATATGCATGGATGAATCTATAATATGCTTTCAAAAAATACAGTAGATTGGGCGAATTTTAAATCCACACTACCCTATGGTCAAGTGTCATCTTTTATTTCGGCCTGTCATCATTATTTATCCTTATTAACTCACACACTTAAAACTTTCTAATCTCCTCAGTTGTTGATGAATTTTGTAATTTCCAGACTTGGTATTGCTTCCTGACCTCTGTCTCCGTATCATTGCCTCCCAGGCCGCAGAGGAACCGCACACTGGAGAAGATCAGGAGGAAAATGTCTTTCCCGGAACCAATTTCTTGGCCGTAGCTGACATCAGCCAGGTACATTCAATTACAAGCACATTTCAACCCACACACCCTCTCCAGCTCGTAACGTAAAGGTCATTTCACAGCCTGGTGTCCACCCTGAGGGTATCAGCCCCTATCCACTGTTTCCTACTTCCTACTCCCATTTGCATTTTGACCCAACTACAAATGCCCATTCTCCACGTCTCCTCCTACTCGGATATATTGGCCATCAATGGCTCAGTGCTCCAATAATGAGATTTTCAGAGCCAAAGGGTGAAGGAGAACATCGTTTTCTTTAATTAACGAAGACCAGAGAATGGATGAGAGTTTAAAATATCATTCATGGGTTTGAGAAAAAAATCTAATTACAATGTGCCTGCTAAATTGGCCTTTCAGTGAATTGATATTGAAGGGGTGTGGTGCGTATTGCCGATATTTCTCTCTCTTTTTTTTTTTTTCGTTCAGGAATTCAGGCTTGCTCAAGCATGCACACAGAGACATAAGCCCCTTGTATTTACCGCTAACAAGCAGTGCAGGACGCCCCGCGTATGGGGCATCAGGCCGATTCTCTCGCTCGGTCTTACAAGGGCAAGGCGTCAGTTAGCACCAAAATAGCATGGCGGTCATTAGACGGGAGTTGGAAGCAGGCAAATTTGTGTTTTTCTCGCAGGCTTTTGTGGAAGTTGCTGGGAAAAAAGTGTTTAAATGAGAATAAAGAATCATGGAGGGGGTTGCGTTTCAAATCACATGAGCTGTTCCACAGTGACCCCTTTTGGTCTGAGAGGGAACATCTTCCACAGATGAAGCTCAGTTGGAGCCGATCTCTGGTTAAATTGTTTTGTGTCGATATGCTGAAGGTGATAATTGTTTGCAGATGTTTGCCGTTAGAATAAAGATTTGTATGGTTGGATGTTAAAAGGATCGCATCAGAGATGCTTTGAAAATATAATATTTTGTTACGGTCCTGGGCTGCATTTCCCAAAAGCATTGTAAACCTAATCGTAAAGATTTATCGTAGAGACCATTGGTGGCAATTGTTTTATGATCATCAACTTAGGCTTACTATGCTTTTGGGAAACTCAGCCCTGGTTGTCAAACTCAATGTTAGCATATAATGTGCTTTTTCTTCATTCAGTACTTGAGTCTTCTGCACACTGGAGGCTCTATTGTCTAAGACAATATTCAGTAGTATTGGCAATATATTAACATTTTAATTAATTTACAAGTTTCAATAACTGAATGTTATTTATTTTTATAAAGCATTTTATTCAAATGAATTTTACAGTCATTCATGAATACAAGATTTTTCTTTTAAAGGAGTAGTTCACTTTTAAAAAACTTTTGCTGGTAATTTACTCACCCCCATGTCATACAAGATGTCCACGTCTTTCTTTCTTCAGTCGAAAAGAAATTAAGGTTTTTGATGAAAATATTTCAGGATTTTCTCCATATAATGGACTTCAATGGGAACCAAACGGTTCAAGGTCCAAATGAGAGTTTCAGTGCAGCTTCAAAGGGCTTTAAACGACACCAGACGATGAATAAGGGCCTTATCTAGGACCCTTCAGGTCATGACTCATTTTGATGAACGAGTTCGAACAGGAGAGTCACGAACGTTCATCACAGAACAGAGCAAGGTGAGCATTTGTGCTTATAAAACTTAAACTTTTTTTATTTATTAAAATGAGCGATCGTTTCGCTTGATAAGACGCTTATTCATCGTCTGGTGTCGTTTAAAGTCATTTGAAGCTGCACTGAAACTCTCATTTGGACCTTTAACCGTTTGGTTCCCACTGAAGTCCATTATATGGAGAAAAATCCTGGAATGTTTTCATCAAAAACCATAATTTCTTTTCGACTGAAGAAAGAAAGACGTGGACATCTTGGATGACATGGGGGTGAGTAAATTATCAGCGAAAGTTTGGGTTTTTTTTTTAAGTGAACTACTCTTTTAAATAGATTTTACTCTCAATTAGCAATTTCTCTGCAATTTCTAACTAAAAAAATATTTTAAGAGAAATTGAAATTGCAGAGAAATTGCTTATTATGAGTAAAATCTATTTAAAAGAAAAATCTCGTATTCACGAATGACTGTAAAATTCATTTGAATTAAATTCTCTAAACAACTGCCATTTTACTATTTAAGCACATGAGTTCCCATGGTCTTGGAAAACTTAGGGAAATTTAAAAGTGTGATTTCTAGACCTGAAACAAATTAATAAAATCCTAAAAAATAATTTGTGTCAGGCCTAGAAATCACACTTTTTAACATTTCTCCTAATATATCTGTTTTCCAAAGACCATAGGAGCTCAGGTCCTTAAAAAAAAAGTTTAGAGAATTAATTCAAATTAATTAATTAAATGATTTCATTTTACATTTTGATCTTCAGCTGTTTTAGCTTATTTTAAAGTCATCTTGTGCCCCCCTGGTTGAGTACCGCTACTCTATGTGATTGTATAGGTATTAGGCAATACTTAGCACAAGCATTACTAGTACTCATACTTAAAGTTAGTGATTTGAACAACACCCTAGCACTAAGTATTGAATGTTATCTTGTACCATATGTGCCAATCATGCGGTTAGTACTTTTCTAAGTGATTTATATCTGGTACTTAAAGGAGAGACCCGAGTCATATCTAGAGACCAAACAACTTGAAACCTGCCAGAAGACCCTAGCAACCTACTGTATCAGAGAGATTTTCATGACAAGTCCTTCTGACTCTTTTTTATTTTGACTCTCTAATTGTTTGAATGGCAATTAAGATTGCAGTTACTAGTCCAGGAATATAAACATTTTCCAGAGATTGAGAGCAATAAAAATTCAAGCACGTTGTGGAGCAGTTGCGTGTATCTAAGTGTTTTTTCGAGGTCTGGCATGTAGTCGGTCCACTTGTAGTTTTCCCAACAACCAAATAAAGGCCCCAGCTACTTAAGTACAGACCCCGGTGAACAAGCTCTCTCTCTCTCTTTCTCTTGGACTGCAGGCATGAATCATTGCCAGCTCCTAAAATGTCATTCCTCCAAGTCTCCAGTGCCTCAGCTTTGGCTCGGTCAGTTCTGATGGAGCCATAAACTTCAAACGGGCCCAGCGCCCGACTGGCAGAATGCATTTCTCTCTCTTTTTCCTCTGGCAGCCGGCCACTGGAAATGAGCTAATCGCTCCTTACACAGACCTCCCTGAGTCCGAGCCAAAGGAATCTGAACATTATCCAAACCAATGACCGAAATGTTGAAAGCTGGCTCGCGGATCCAGCGATGGAATTATACAAGACAGACGTCCCCTTTTCACTCCAGCCTCCCCTTCTGTTAAGACTGTAACGACCACTGTGAAATTGTGCTCATGCTAACATATGTTTGCCATTACCGCACGGTTCACGGTGTGCGCTTTTATTTGCCGTCATCTGTGTTGAAAGGTAAATGTCAGATCCAGAGAGCCGTCAGGGATATTTTTGCGGTAATGGATTGTCAAGCCTTATGTTGGCAGATATATATCATAAAACTGCTAAGACATAATTTTCCCGAATGCTGTGTTAAATTCAGGAAACACACTGTGGACTTCCAGACTCCCCTATAGAGCTCGACGGGCTTCCGTCTCCTCCAGCTGCTCTGTATCACGGCCCAGCGTTTCCTCCACAGCCTTCCCAGTCGACCCATCTCACCGAGCCCATCCTGAGCACCATCCAGCAGAGAGAGACCCTGGAGAACAGGCTGGTGGATTGGTGAGGCTCTGCTATCTGAACACGTTTCATCTGCTGCACATTTATAAGCATTAAATGAACATATTATTGATGAATTATCTTTTTATTATTATCACATTAAGCATAGAACGCATAGAAACCTGAATTAGTTTTTATACATCGATCATGTGAAAGGATCATATTGAATTGTAATAATATTTCACAATTGTGCAGTTCGGTACAACAGGAAAAAGCAACAAATCTCCAATGCTAGGTTTCTATCATTGATTTTGAACAGACAGTATTGCAAATTACAGTTTGTTCCAATTAGCGGCATTTAGTCCCTCTGAGGTAGTTAGTACAGTACAGACCCCTTCTGTGTGTTAAGCACTAAGCAGTAAATAGAATTCACTCTTGCGTAGGTCATATTTTTTGGTAGGGATGATAAAAAAACAAAAGGTATTTAGTCACAATCAGCTACTAAACTAAAAAGCATCTCTTGTGTTTATAAAAGGAGAAAAAGTGCCATCTACATCTACACCCAAAATGGGAACGGAGAGTAAAGCGGCACAAATCCACAACACAAATCGGCACAATGCCAAATGTTTTTGTCTCATTATAAGCGGAAACAACTTAAAATACTATGTCATTTATGGTCATATTGATAAGAGTAAGACATAATTAGAAACTGTAATTTTTTTTTTTTCTATTTTTATTTGTGTACACTCACAATAAAAACAAAGGTCACACTATAGATTAGGGTCCAATTCTCACTATTAACTAACTAATAACTCTGACTTTTGCCTCAATAAACTCCTAATTACTGCTTATTTATATTTGGTTAGGTAGTTGTTAAGTTTAGGTATTGGGTAAGATTTAGCGATGTAGAATATGGTCATGCTGAATAAGGCATTATAGGGATAGTTCACTTTGAAATACATTTTTGGTATGTTTTAGCTTACCTCAAGGGCATCCAAGATGTAGGTGTCTTTGTTTCCGCAGTAGTTTCAATTTTGATATTTTTAGGTCAAACCGTTCTTGTCTGTCAGTCATATAATGGAGGTCTATGGTCACCACCTCAAAGAGCATGCACAGAGAAGTCCAAATTAAACATGATTTAATGACTCGTAAATGTAAGTACACATTGATGGCCTAAGACACGAAACGAGCGGTTTGTGTGAGAAAACGAACAGTATTTATATCGTTTTTACCTCTTGTAACCACAGCCACATCCAAGTGATCTGAGGGGGCCGGCAAGCGCCAAAAGTGATTTCTCGCGCGTGTACGTCACTCATTGTTTACACAGATTTCAGAAGTGTTACCCTTCACTTTGAAGATCTAAACATATTTAGATACACAGGAAATTGCAATGGAAGACGATATATCAACAGACAACGTTGATTTTTTTTTTCCGCAACCGCACAAGAGATTGCAAGAGGTAAAAACGATATAAATACTGTTCGTTTTCTCACACAAACCGCTCGTTTCGTGTCTTAGGCCATCAGTGTGTACTTACATTTACGAGTCATTAAATCATGTTTAATTTTGACTTCTCTGTGCATGCTCTTTGAGGTGGTGACCATAGACCTCCATTATATGACTGACAGACAAGAACGGTTTGACCTAAAAATATCAAAATTGAAACTACTGCGGAAACAAAGACACCTACATCTTGGATGCCCTTGAGGTAAGCTAAAACATCCCAAAAATGTATTTCAAAGTGAACTATCCCTTTAATATGTGCTTTATAACTACTAATAAACAGCCAATTTCCTAGTAACATACATGCTAATAAGCAACTAGTTAATAGTGAGAATTCGACTCTTACCAAAACAAAACCTTACTGACGTCTGTGCCTGGACCGTTCGGGGCGAATACATGTACCGTTACACCCCTACATGACACTATTGCACTGTTTTGTCATTTCTGTCATAGGGTGGAGCAACAGCTCATGGCCAGAATGATCACTGGAATGTTCCCTCAGCCCGTCCAGACTGATCCTGCCAGCCAATCAGAACCGGAGAATAGTGTGACATCAGACATTGGTGACTATTGTAATCTCACAATGATAATCTCTTAATTTTCTGTTAAATTTTGGTGGATAGGGGCTTCTTTACCATCTATAAAATAAGTAATGTGTGTTAAAAGCTCCAAGTTTAGAAGCTTTAGAAGTTTGTCGTCTGCATTTCAACCGTCATACATCTTCCCCAATGTGTCTGGTCAATGTTAAAAATCAACAACACGATCAATAACGCATGACACAAACCAGCAAGAATGATCCAACTGCACCAGGTTCCAGTCTACAAGCTCATAATTTTGATTCATAGCGTCTACGAATGCGAGCTGCGCATTTGTCAAGCGTATCAGCACGCAGCAAGATTGTATTTCCTCATTAAAGCACGATTGCTTGTGTTCAGCCCCTCTACTCCTCCTCCGCTCCATCCTTCCGTCTCCGTTGCGTCACTTCTGCTCAGTTGGCGTGGAGGTCCTGCCTCATTAATTCTCGCTTTCGTTTAATAGAAAGATCAATGATGTATCAAATTTGCAGAGGAGGCTCGCGGCAAACTGTCGTCAGCATATTCGCAGACTGACTGGACTCTTCCTCCTGTAGAGGAACTGTATTTGTGTTTGAACGCAATCTTTCCCTAGACAAAAGGAAACGAGAGCCCTGCCAAGAATGTCAGTTCTGTATATTCGTTTTTTTTTAATAGCACCGGTCCAAAATGCTTACGGGTGCAAGAATTCAGAATAGGCTGGGTGAGAGGTAAAGCGGGTCTCAAATTGGATATTAGAAATTACTTTGCTGGCAAACTCAAATTTGAAGTGCTTCAAACTTCAGAATATTGTGGAAATGCCTGTGTTTTGCATGGGTTATTATTATTTGGATGCACTTTTTTAATTGATGCGAAAATGTAAATATTAGCAATGCTCTTGTTAAAAGTGATGATAGGTCAGACCCTCTGGCCTAGTTGTTTCAAATTTAGGTTTGAATCTTGGGCTGTGTTTGTCCTGATCCCATTACCCAAAACACATTGCATTTCTTTTAAACCCTAATGTTGTCTTTGTCAGTAAAAACATGGCAAAAAGCTTAACCAGCATTTAGAGCTAGAAAATCAGTCCACCACCAGCCGAGTAATAAATAAACATTTTAATAACTATTTTTATACATTATATAATAATTATATTATATTCATTGATATTGCTTTCACATTTTATGGTGAATTTTGAGTAAACATTGTCTAAAATAAGCTTTTGTTAAATTTCAGCAGTTGACCGTTCACTAAGCTCCACCCTTTTTGTTTTTCATTTAAATAATTTGATAAATGATACATCATCATGATTATGTATCAGAGTTTATGCCAATGTTTTTTTACGTCATGCAAAACAGTTAGTTTTACTATTATAGTATTTATTTATAATTTGAATTAGCTTTGATTTATTTATTTTTTTTCATTTTAGTTTATGTGATTTTTTTTAATTTTTTTTTATTCTTATACATTTTTGGGGTTTTAAAATGTCTATTTAGCTTTCATTTATTTTTTTATTTAAAAACTGTTATTTTTTATTTAACAATAACGGCACTTATGTGAAAACGATTAGACAGCATCAGTTGCTGTTTGTATTGGTCAGTTAGTTTTAGTAATTTTGTTATGTGCTTTTGCCATTTTTATTAGTTTTAGTTTTTTATTATTTATTTACCTTTATTTTTCAACCATTTTTCTTCTTCACAAAAGAAAACACTGAAATGAAGGCAACAGCTGCTAATGTTTTTAAATATCAGCATTGAAAATTTGTTTTAGTTGACAACAACTTCTTCTATGTCGAACATCCATGTGCCATATCCACCAGGTAATCTTCCTCTGTGTGTTTGTGTGGCAGTGGAGGCTGCAGGCGGTGGTGGTCTTCAGTTGTTTGTGGACACAGGTGTACCAGTGGACTCTGAGCTCATAAGACAATGTGTAAATGAAGTGCTGGCTGAAACCATTGCTGTAATGCTGGGACAGAGAGAGACAGAGAGAGAGCTTGCTGCCCCTGTCCAAACACAGGGTACTCAGGAGGTACTAGAGTCTAAAACACTCTCATTTGTATGGAAACTTGTTTCCACCACGGAATAAATAGATTTAAAAAAAAAAAAGAGTCACTGCAACTTTTTAGCTCACAATTGTGAGAATTTCTGACTTTATAACTTGCAATTGGTGAGTTTATGTCTCACAATTGCAAGAAATAAATTCAGCATTGCAAGTTATAAATTCACAATAGTGAGAAATAAAGTCAGAATTGTGAGATATAAACTCGCAATTGCGACGAGAAATAAAGTCAGAATTGTGAGATATTCGCAATTGTGAGAAATAAAGTCAGAATTGTGAGATATAAACTCGCAATTGCGAGAAATAAAGTCAGAATTGTGAGATATAAACTCGCAATTGCGAGAAATAAAGTCAGAATTGTAAGATATTCGCAATTGCGAGAAATAAAGTCAGAATTGTAAGATATTTGCAATTGCGAGAAATAAAGTCAGAATTGTGAGATATAAACTCGCAATTGCGAGAAATAAAGTCAGAATTGTGAGATATTCGCAATTGTGAGAAATAAAGTCAGAATTGTGAGATATAAACTCGCAATTGCGAGAAATAAAGTCAGAATTGTGAGATATTCGCAATTGCGAGAAATAAAGTCAGAATTGTGAGATATAAACTCGCAATTGCGAGAAATAAAGTCAGAATTGTGAGATATAAACTCGCAATTGCGAGAAATAAAGTCAGAATTGTAAGATATTTGCAATTGCGAGAAATAAAGTCAGAATTGTGAGATATTTGCAATTGCGAGAAATAAAGTCAGAATTGTGAGATATTTGCAATTGTGAGTAATAAAGTCAGAATTGTGAGATATAAAGTCAGAATTGTGAGATATTCGCAATTGCGAGAAATAAAGTCAGAATTGTGAGATATTCGTAATTATGAGAAATAAAGTCAGAATTGTGAGATATAAACCCGCAATTGCGAGAAGTAAAGTCAGAATTGTGCGATATTCGCAATTGTGAGAAATAAATTTAGAATTGTGAGATATAAACTCGCAATTGTGAGAAATAAAGTCAGAATTGCAAGTTTATATCTTGCAATTCTGACTCGCAAAATAAAATTGTGAGCTATAAACTAGCGATTATGAGTCCGAAAATACTTTTTGTCAGAATTGCGAGTTTATATCTCGCAATTTGGAATTTATAACTTTTATTGCAAGTTTATATCTCACAATTGTGAGAAAAAAGTCTGAATTTTGAGTTATTCCTCAGAATGTCCAGTAAATGTCCAGTAAATGTATCTGATCTAATTTCTCGCAATTATCAGTTATAAAGTGAGAATCGCAGATATTAACTTACAATAAAGAGAAAAAATTCCAAATTGTGAGGTAAAAAGTTGTAATTACCGTATTTATTTTGTATTCCATGGTGGAAACAAGTTTCCATATATTTCCCGATTATGATGATAATACCTTAAAAACAGGCTAATGATGTAAAAAGATGTGATGATATTGTGTTAATATTGCAGGAGGTTACTACGGTACCAACACCGGCACCCACTCCTGAGCCCAGCTTGAAAGAGCCGCCATCTCCTGTCAGAACTCCTGATCTCTCCGAACATCTTTCTACAGCTCTGTCTCCCAAGAAAAAACATCAGGAATCTGCTTCACCAGGTCTGACAATGATTTCTATGAACATAATGAATCACTCGCCTTATACATGCTGCCAACAGACACATCAGTTATTTGTAAAGGTGTTAAGCACAGTTGTTGTTCACACACATCAGTCAGCTCTACAACCATTCTGCCTTTGTTTCAGTACCAGATAGAATTCCTGTGGGCACACCGAATACCACACCAATCCCATCTCCCATCAGGGTGGACACACCCTCTCCTCCTCCAGCCAATCAGAGCCCAGAGTCAGCCACCCTGCAGCATCACCCATGGGGAGGAACAGAGCTCCCCCTGGAGGAGGAAGAACTGCATAGCGAGAAGCAGGAACAACAGCCAGAATCTGTGTACGTCTAATTACCACATTTTCATTTTTATTTCTTACATTAAATATTAAAGCAAAGCAAATAAATACACACTAATATTATTTGTGCAGAAAAACAAGTGACAGAATCAAAAGCTAGTATGTTTCATGCATTGAGTTTTGTTCGAGTTGTCAATAGTGAAACAGTTTCCCTTTTTCATTTTGCACTAGAACTTGGGGTAGTATGCCTACCTCTAAATGTTGGGTTGGCAATGAATTTGATCAATGAAAAGATGTGGTATATAGACCCACAGTGCCACCTGCTGTTCAAAACAGTAAATATATGACCAATTCTGGAAACATGGGACAAAACAACATCTCCAATTAGAAAAGAATGATCAGTATAAAACCCAAATTTATAATTTTGTCTTATTTTATCTTTATTTTATATAATTATTATATAACATCATCTCTCACTACCTCTAAAAACTCCTGTCTTCAGTGCTTTATGTACAAAAAATGCATAATTTATATATATATATATATTTGTATTTTTAATTTCACCTGCTTGGCATTCAATAAGATCACACAGACTCCAATTATTGTTTTTTTTTAAACGTATTTACTTATTTATTTATTAACTGTACTCATATTTTATGTCTATAATGGGTTAACTGTCATCCAAATTCTAAATAAATAGTTTCGAATCTTTAGATAATTGCTCTTATTTTAAGTCGGTATTAGTAGCCATCAACACCTGAAAACAAAATAGTATCTGAATTTAGTCCATGTCTAATATGTAAACTTCTGTCAACACCATTTCCTCTGGGATGCTGGTGACAATTCAATAGACTGAGCAGAACAAACCATCCTGACATCTTAATTAACTCATTTAGTGAATTAAATGCTAGATTTCTTAATATTGTTAGCAACATCCATTTAGCACATTTTGGTAACAAAATTTGCAATTATTACTTAAAAATATGGTAACACTTTACAATAAGGTTCATTAGTTTTAGTTAACATGAACTAAGAATGAACAATACTTCCACAGCATTTATTAATCTTAGTTAATATTAATTTCAACATTTACTAATACATTATTCAAATCAAAGGTTGTATTTGTCAACATTAGTTAATGCACAGTGAACTAACATGAATAAACAATGAACTAGCATTAACAAAGATTAAAGATTAGATTTTTAAGTAATAATCGACAATATCTTCCACTACTGACACATATTGAGTCATAGCAAAGCAGTGTAATTTATTGTCTATCCTCTGACCTTTGGATTTAAAATCTGCTGCTGCTACTGCACCTTAAAGACTTCTGACTGTATGTAAATCACAATTTCCCTTTTGCATTGTTTTTGTTACTAATGTTTAACTTCTATGTCAGTGTAGACAGTGTAGGAATATGTGCCGCTCCCTAACACCCTTCATCTCTCTGACACGCAGTGTGATGTCAGTAGCCCAAGATGACGATGCAGAAGAACCCGTCATCCCTTCATCTTCTCCTCTCCCCTCCAAACCAGCAGCTCTCCCACCTCCTCTTCCTCCTGCCGCCACCCCTGACTCCTCTTCATCCTCCTCCTCCTCCTCAGAGGAGAGCAGCACTAGTTCCAGTGCGACTGTCACTGAGACTGAGATGCCAGCCAGACACATCTCAGAGGGAGAGCTGCTGCTCACTCACGGCCAGATGGCAGCAGTCAAAGGTACTCGATCGGTCCAACACACACTCACACAGCCAGAATGATCCAAAACCTCATTGTCTACATAAGCACATGCCTTCTAAGAACACAATTGACATTTATGAATGACTGGCTTGAAACACTTTACATTGGCAGTGTCTCACAAACCCACAAACAGAGCCTAAATGTATTATTTCATTATATGTGCGCTACTGGTCAAAAGTTTGTAATAATTTGATTCTTAAAACTGTAATATTGGTAATTATTATTGCAAATTAAAATAACGGTTTTATATTTTAATAAATTTTAATTTCCAGCATCATTACTCCAGTCTTCAGTGTCACATGATCCTTCAGAAATCATTCTAATATGCTGATTTGCTTCATTTATTATTATTATCAATGTTGAAAACAGTTTTTGCTGCTTTATATTTTTGTGGAAAACTGAGATACATTTTGGATTCTTTGAAAATAAAAGCATTTATTTGAAATAGAAATCTGTTGTAACATTATACATATCTTTACTGTCACATTTGAACAATTTAATGTGTGATTGCTGAAAAAAGCATTCAGTTCTTTTTTTTTCTTTTTTTTTTCTTTAGTTACCTACTTACCATAAACTTTTGAATTGTAGTATGATATCACAGTTTCCACTAAAATATTAAGCTTTTAAACATTGACAATAAGAAATTAGCACATTAGAATGATTTCTGAAGGATCATGTGACACTGAAGACTGGAGTAATGATGCTGAAAATTCACATTAGATTTTAAAATATATTTTCAAATATATATTCAAATGTGATCAAATAAATGCAGCCTTGATGAACATAAGAGACTTCTTTCCATATATATATATATATATATTCCATTTTATTTAATGGTCCCACTTTATACTACTGTAAGTGGCTTTACGTACTATGTACTTACATTGAACAATAAGTACAATGTATTATTGTGTTCCTGTTGTATTGTAAAACACTTTTGCTGCTATTGAGGTATGATACGTGTAAGGTTAGGGACAGGTGTGGTGGTATGGGTCGGTTTATGGGTAGGTTAAGGTGTCAACTGTGTAATTACAAATGTAATTACATAAAGTTATTATAGCTGTAATTACATGCTGCTATTTTTAAAATATAAGTACAATGTAAAAACATGTACGTACATAATAAGTCCATTGTATCAAATTATTAATTTCAATATAAGTATATAGTACTTAAAGCCACTTAATATAAAGTGGGACCTATTTAATTTACCCTGTAGTGTTCTGATGATCCCTAAATGTGTTGTTGTTTTTTGTTTTTTTCACCCCAGTTCTGGAACAGGAAGGAGTCCTTCTGCCTAATTTGATTACCAGCCTGAACAGCTCCCTGCATGGAGTCCAAGACATGGTGAATGTTTGAATGCAATGAGTCTTAGTAACAGACCCAAACACTTGTGTCTTACCTCACCATTTATTAAACCAAATGGAATGAAATAGTAAGACTGACATGGCTAAACATGAACTGACAATTTCAGCTTTGGGTTTGAGCTTTTAGCCAAAGGTTAGAGGTTCAGTCTCAATGAGAACTGGGGAGACAGCCAGTAACAGTTTTTGCTGATTTAACAATCATCTGTCATGATTAGCATTGTGGAAAACACTAAATCTGATCAGAATTTCCAAGTCATTTTGGATGAAAGTGTTTTGGAAAAGTGGGGAGGGAAAAAACTCATAGAGTGATATAATTCATTACGTTGTGCAATAAAACTAATACCACACAGATTTTCCAGATGTGCATAGATCAAAAGAAATGCACTGGTTTTATATAAACCTTTTGTTTTTTCTTTCAGGATTATGATCCGCCCAGTGAGGGTCAGGTGATTAGAGCTCCACGCCTCCTTGCTCATCATGATCCCGTCCTGTCTCTGTTGGCCAGGATGGAACGTGGCGTTGTTAACCAATCACAGCAGCCAGAGGTATCACGGGACTCACCTGAAGCAGTCTGATTCAGTGATGATGTTTGGTTCTTTTTAATGGTTTTACTGAAGCGCGCAGCATTATTCAATGTGTTGACGTAATTTCCACTGAAACAGGAAGACAGGGCGGGACATATCGAACAGCTCCTCCCCTTTTTTTAAATGGCCTAAAGTGTTTTGTTTATATCACTGCTCTGCCAGAGGTTTTTCTCCTCCTTATCTCCTCTATATCAAATCTTTAGCATTCTGTGCTAGCCTGGGAAAACCCAGACAGTTTCCGACAAATTTGCTCTGAAAGTTAGTCTGGCAAAGAGCTCATTCAAGCCCATTTCCAATCCGTCGAAATCGAGGAACCAATCAGAAACTTTGGGGCGGACTTTCCACGATGGCGACAGCACTGGGGTTTTGAAGCAGATTTTGTAGCCTACATTACAAAGATGGATGACGCCGTCGAGCATCACCCGTTCGAATCAGCTATCGCGTCGGTTTTAAGCCATTTGAACGTTTCCTTTTTGTTAAAAACCAAGCAAATAACAACACTCAGCCGGCCGCCGCTCTGCATACGTCACCTCGTTCATCGCTCTGATTGGTTTTAGGTCTACCCGTGACGTCCGTTGGTGACGCCCCTCTGGAAATGATTTGTCTATGACGCTTTGCCAGACCATAAATCAGTTACAACTGAGAATGGTCTGGTTTTAACCAGGCTAATTCTGTGCAGAATCAATTGGAATCATTCCCTATCCACTATATAGTGCACTACGTGCCACTCACCATGTAGTTTATAGTAATTGTGTGAACAATTGACCTATTTTAGCCAGCTTAAGCATCTATTTATATAGGGGGCGGGACACTTTTGATTTTTATTGAAACATTTTCAAAGAAAACAATCACAATATAGAACAAATAAACAGAAAAAAATAAAAAACAAAAAACAAAAGATTGGACAGAAAATCGGATGAGAAGTAGAGTGCAGAGTGATGTCATCAAAGTCATTAATCCATATTGGCGAAAGTGAGGGACTGTAAGTTTTGAATGCTTATATCATCTAAATGCAATTTTTTGTCAATGTTTTGGAGCTTATTAGCTTATAGATAACAGTAAGATTAACATTTTCATACTAATTCATACTAAAAAAAAACTTCAAATTTGATTTTTTGGGGACTTTAAAGATTTGGTCAAATAGATTTGGAGAACGTTTGTAAATGACTCTATTATAAGGGCTGTACCTGTGAAGTTGGTGATTTTCAGACTTTTTGATGGTAAAAAACCCCAAACATAAAAGCAGCAATGTATTTTTATGTGTGAAAACTTTATACTGGGGGGAAAAAAATCATAAAGCATAAATATACATTTGAAATACTATGTAAAGTGTAATCTTATTTAATATTAAATATGCAAAATAATTACACAATATATATTTAATAATATAATTTATATTTACTTTATTATAAACATAAAACCTGATTTTTGACCAGAACTTTATAATTATTATTTTTTACACTTGTACACAATTTGTCTCTGAATGTTTCTTCAAACCCTCTTTCAGAGCATTATTTCCTGTTTTACTGAAGCTTTTTATCCATGTTAATCACATTTCATTGTAGTTTTGCTAGTTCCGCTGTTATCCAGCAGATGGCGCTAGAGGATATATTCAAAAAGATGCTCAGACTAATGAATCTCTCTTTCTCAGAGATGGTGGGAGGAGGAGAGCAGTGGAGAGGTCAGTGAGGGTCAGAGACCTCTGCTGACGGCCACACAGCAGAGTGTGATGACCGGACACTCGCTCATAGATCAGCAGAGACACACACACTCCAGAACCACAGAGATCTCACCTCACTCTACGCTCATGTCACCTGGACAAGTGCTCGCTGAAGTCACGGGTATAAAAACATCACTCAGACAACCAACACTATTCTTCTGCACATACACACTCCACTCTTTTACCATAGAAAATAAATAGATAAAACGTTTTTACGTCACATGCCTTAACAGTAAAGCCAGTGTGTCGCGTTAATGGTCTCTATGTTTGACGCATGTACTACAAACATATAAACCTCATCTCACTTTTTTATATTGTTTTTCCTGTCACCATTAATCGTTTTATTGTCCGTCATATTTCTCTGGCCATTTGGGTGGCCACGTCTCTTTCTTGTTCGCCTTTGGCGGTGTTACTGGTCCTCCGTGGGGACGTCTCTAATGGGGCATGTCTCGCACTACCCGTGTTATGTGGACGCAGGGAATTGAGCTGTTTTTGCTTCAGATTTTGTGTGTGAAAGAGCGAGCTGAGGCTGACACAGGGGAAGCCAGGTGGTCTGAATACTTCATCAGAACTCCTGCTCAGGGAACCGGGCGGAAATGAATCCCACTCCCACTCTGAGCATCCTCTTACACAGCCTGTGAACGGCATCCAAACACAACCGCAAAGACTCTCCCTGCTGATGTTTATTCCATTATTCTCTGCTTGATGGCTCTTCTCCTGCGAAAGTAACAGATGAATTTAAAGTAGAGACTGACTAATATATTTATATAGTTTTTAAATTCTAAAAAACTTAACTTAAACTTAAAAAAAAAAGAAAAAGTTTGGGATCGGTTATATTTTTTAATGCTTTTAAAAGATGCATCTTATTCTCGCTAAGGCTGCATTTCTTTGATTAAAAATACAGTAAAACATTAATATTGTGAAATATTATTAAAATGGATTGATTGATTGATTTGCAGTTAAAAAATATGTATTATTATTATCAATTTTAAAAACAGTTTTTTTCAGGATTCTTTGATAAATAGGCAGTTGAAAAAACAGCATTTGTTTGAAATAGAAAGCTTTTGCAACATTATAAATATCTTTACTTTACAATTTAATGCATTCTTAATAAATAAAAGTATTAATTTCTTCTTTTTTTAATTTTTACTGACCCCAAAGTTTTGAACGATAGTATATAATTTTACAAAATATTTTTATTTCAGATAAACGCTGTTTTTATATATATATATATATATATATATATATATGAAGAGTTCAGATGCAAAAGCTTCTAAATGCCATTTGAAATTTTCTTCTTTAATGATGATTTTTATCATACTTGTATATTTAAGTTCAGTAATTTCACTTAAATAACAATTAATAGGTAATTATCATTGCCATTTAAGTGAAATTACTGAACTTAAATATACAAGTTTGATAAAAATCATCATTAAAGAAGAAAATTTCAAATGGCATTTAGAGGCTTTTGCATCTGAACTCTTCATATATATATATATATATATATATATATATATATCTTCAAAAAAATGATTTTAAAAATATATTTTATTAATTCTTTGTTACTTTGTCTAACTGTTAAACTGGTACATCTTTCCCATAGGTTGAGTTTAAATGAATATTAGCTTAGCTCTTATTAAATAAACATCATATTAATAATACATTAATAATAATATATTATTAGGGAATTATAAATTTTCTCAATTTTCTGACCTCTCAGCAAGAAGGGTGATATCTACATTGTAATATCTGCATAATTCTATTATTATTAATATTATTATTATTATTATATTTAAATCGGACGGAGATAACACATCATGAAGGAAATTTAAAAAAAGAAAATTATTATTGCTAGTAATATACAATTCATTACATGAAATTACATTTTTTATTGGTGTTGAAGTTATACATATGGTTAAGTTTTGCAATCGAATTGCACAAATATTTTTATTATTTCTTTTGGGCTATGTCTAACTGTTAAGCTGTGTGTTTCTGTACGTCTAGAATTTTTGTGATGAATAAAGTCTGTGTTGGAATTTTTTGGAGTCAATATTAGTTTCGTATCGTGTTTCACAACTAAAACAGACTGTCCAAATCCTCACGTTAAAAAGAAACCTATGTAAATAAATAAAAGTTAAGCAGAGATGCTTTGGAAAACACTGACCGGCGTTTAAAATGTTTGCTGTTAAATGTTTAGTGTACTTAGAGGATCTGCAGTCCAAAAGTGTGTGGACAGTACATCTAAAGTTATGAGTC